GAGATCGATTGTGAGATCGATTATGAGGTCGATAGTGAAATCGATAGTGAGACCGAATGTGAGATTGATTGTGAGATCGATTGCGAGATCGATAGTGAGATCGATAGTGAGACCGAAGCTGAGATTGATAGTGAGATCGATCGTGAGATCGATGGTCAGATCGATTGTGAGATCGATCGAATGAGATCGATAGTGATATCGATAGTGATATCGACAGCGAGACCGGATGTGGGATCGATGGTGATATCGATTGTGATATCGATCGTGAAATCGATAGTGAGACCGAATGTGATATTGATTGTGAGATCGATTGCGAGATCGATAGTGCGATCGATAGTGAGACCGAATGTGAGATCGATCTCACCATCGATATCACAATCGATTGTGATATCGATTGTGATATCGATGGTGAGAGCGATGGTGAGACCGATTTTGATATCGATTGTGAGATCGATAGTGAGATCGATAGTGAGACCGAATGTGAGATCGATTGTGATATCGATAGTGAATCGATAGTGAGACCGACTGGGAGATCGATAGTGAATCGATAGTGAGACCGAATGTGAGATCGATTGTGAGATCGCTTGTGATATCGATAGTGAGATCGATAGTGAGACCGAATGTGAGATCGATAGTGAGATCGATAGTGAGATCGATAGTGAGACCGAATGTGAGATCGATTGTGATATCGATCGTGTAATCGATAGTGGGACCGAATGGAAGATCGATAGTGAGATCGATAGTGAGACCGATTGTGCGATCGATAGTGAGATCGATAGTGAGATCGAGAGTGAGATCGGTCGAGTGCGACGTTGGTCCCTCCCCCCCACGCCTCCTTATCACCCGAAGGGTGGTCGTATAGGTACTTGCACTCAGGCCTGCGCGACGACGCCACGGAGGCGATGGAGGATCAGGAGGTCGATTGCCAGTTATGCGATTACTTTACGCCGAAGTACCTAGAGGGCGAGCAGTGCAGCCTGGGAGAGCAGACGGGAGCCGCCCTGATGGACCGCTTCCTGGCCCCCGGCAGAAAGGGGGGCCGCGGCCGCAACCTGCCTCGAGCCTGGCGAACCCTAAATGCCTGGCGGCGGCTGGCGCCCTCCCGGACCAGGCGCGCGCTGCCCCTGGCCGCCTGGTCGGCAGTGATGCGGCAGCTCGCGGAGAAGGGGCTGAGGGCGATGGCGATGTTCATTGCAAAGGGGCTGTCAGCCTATTCGAGGCCTTCTTCGCTGCTGGCGGCGCGGCGGACCAGCGGGGCCTCCTCGCGCGCCCGCAGGAGGGGACCCGCCCCAGCAAGACAACCGCTACGACGAGGGCTGCCTGCTGGACTCAGGCTACATGCGGGGGCTGGACCCCGCCTTCCTCCAGCTCCGCGGACCGGCGACCACCGCCCCGCTCTGGCCGTTCAAGTGCCCGGAGCTGGCGGCGGAGGTCAAGTTGGCTGCCGCCGAAGTGGGCGCGGGAGAGGTGGCGCTGTAGCAGATGCGGCACTCGGGAGCCAGCATCGACGTTTGCACGAGGATTCGGTCGCTCGAGGAGGTGCGAAGGCGCGACAGCTGGGCTCGGGCAGAGAGCATGCACTGATGCGAGCACAGCAGTCGGCTCAGCGCCGAGCGCGACCGACCCCCTGCCGACCAGAGGAGGCTGCACGAAGCCTGCGAAGTGCACCTGCTGCAGATCCTCCTTGGACAGCCGCGCCTGGTCAGGGCGCCGCGCGGGATGGCAGCGCGGCAGGCGCGCGGCCCTGTCTGGGGCAGACCCGCCGTGGCGGGCTGGCGCGCACCCGAGATTATTCATAATCTCGCTAGGTGGTCGACAGTTTCGCAGGTAGAACTTGACCAATGCCAGTTCATAGCTAAATACAGGAAACCGACCCGCCTGATGTTCTGTCATGTCGTTGAAGACGATTTGCGCGACTTGCGTAGAAAGTGCCGAGGCCGCAGAGGGCAGTGCCCCCGAGCGGGGCGGCCCCACATCCAGCTGGAGGGCAGCGCCCGCACTCGCCCAGCAGCCGCGTGCCCGCCAGAGCTTGCGCATTGCATGGTCCGCGCTCTGATTGCCTCGTCTATGGCTGCTTGCGGGTATAACAAGCAGCCCGCCCTAACCCACCCTCGGGGACTCCCGAATTCGGGGGGCTCGGGGAGGAGTGAGAGTCGCTGCTGACTTTAACCTCTGACCATGACGTTTCGAGGCGTTCGTCAGACTGTCCTCTGCCGCGTGAAAAAAAGAGGGCTCTACTTGTTCTTGAACGGTTTGAGCTGAACGTTTTGGAATGTAGTGATGTGTGCCAGTGCTTTTCTCGAAACCACCTGCAATCATCCAAGGGTTTACAATATCTGAGCTTCCTGTCTCCTCTAACTCTGCTTTCTCTCTCTCTCTCCTTCCATCGCCTGTCTTTGGCCCCCACCCTCTACACCCTGGGAGGAGTGAGAGCCGCTGCTGAATTTAACCTCTGGCCAATACGTTCCGGGGCTTTCGTCAGACTGTTCTCTGCCGCGTGAAAAAAGAGGGCCCTCTTTATTCGTTAAACACATCTATATACACATGCATACATACATACATACATACATACATTTTTCCCCGTGCACGAGGCCTGGGCGCCCAGGGCCCGGGCCACGGGGGGCCTTTGGGCCCCCCGAAACAGTCCCAGACAACCCCGAAACGCCGCCCGAAGGTCCCAGGAGGTTTCCAAACGCGCAAGACAACCCAGAATCCCCGAAGGATGCTGGATGGGCAGGGTGCCCTTGTCCATCCTCGGGCCCGGTGTTGTCATCCTTGCATTCACGGGGCCGCGGCCCAAAGGATGCGCGACATCCTTGGGCACGTCTTCCTTGCCCTCCCAGTCATGGGCTGGAGCGGCCCTGAGGATGTTGGATAGGCAGGGCACTCTTGTCCATCCGCGGGCCCAGCTTTGCCCTCCTTACATTCAAGGGGCCGCGGCGCCAAAGATGCGCGACGCGCAGGGTGCTTGTGCTCATCCTTGGGCACGTCTTCCTTGCCTTCCCATTAATGGGTGGGAACGGCCGTGAGGATGCTGGATGGGCAGGGCACCCGCGTCCATGTTCGGGTCCGGTGTTGCCATCCTTACATTCAAGGGGCCGCGGCCCCAAGGATGCGCGACGCGCAGGGTACTTGTGCTCATCCTTGGGCACGTCTTCGTTGCCCTCCCACTCATGGGTGGGAGCGGTCATATGGATGCTGGGTGGGCAGGGTACCCTTGGCCACCCTCTGCCGCTGCTGAAGATGCGGGCCAGGCAGGGCGCCCTTGCGCATCTTTGCCGCCGAAGTCTGTAGCGCGTCGCGCGCCATGGGGCCGCCGCTGAGGACGCGGGCCAGGCCGGGCGCCCTTGCGCATCCTTGCCGCCACCACGTGCGCGCCGTCACGCATTTGGCCAACAATTCTTGAAGGCGTTGGCCAGGGATGGCTCCCTGGCGCATCCTTGCCACCGAGGTAGGCGCTGCCAGTAGATGCCCATGCCGGTGGCGCCGTGCCCCCCAGGGACGCGCGACTCCCAAGGGTACCCATGCATTCTTGCGTTGTCCTTGCTTGTGGCCGAGGCGCCAGTTCGGCAAGGATGGCGGCGCGTCAGGGTACCCTTGCATCCTTCGGAATTCGGCCGCGCCCCGCGCGGACAACCTCAACATGGCGTTCCACGGCCCTTGCATCCTTACCGCGCATCCGTATTATCCTGGTTGACTGTAAGACCACACGGTGCAGACAGTATCGTGGATTTTGTCTTCAGCGTTTGTTGGAGTTCTATTGTAGCCTCCCGCACTCGTTTTCGAAACTCGCGTGTTCTTGTTGAAGGCATGGCTGTTTTTGCTCAGCGGTCGAAGGAGCTTCTTGAAGATGTGGAGCCCTCTTGGGGGCCTCTTGGGAGCTAGTTTGGGGTGGGTTCTTGGGGACTCGATCGGGTGGCGCCTGGAAGGTTTCAGGTGTTTTGTTTAATGATCGTTTTGGGTGCATCTTGGGAATACCTAGCGAGTGTTTCATAAGAGCTTCGCCCAAGTGGGGGACTCCTTGGACATCAACATGAGCCGATTGTTTCGTGAGAGTTTGTCACAACCATCCTGTGGTGTTGGGTCCTCGTTTTGAAGAGGCAGCGCCCCGCGTCAACTCCCGCCCCCTTCCCCTCCTCCCTCCTCCCCCTCTTTGCATATGCCTGCCGCGTGTTTTTGTTTCGGCACACCCCTCACACGCTTCGTGACACCATAGGGAACTCCACCGAAAGCCCCAGTGGATGCGCTCGCATGACACCGCCACACCCATCCCGTGGCCCCATGAGGAGTTCCACCGAAGGCCCCAGTGGCTGCGTTCGCATGACACCACCGCACCAAATTCAGCACGTTCCTCACGCGCTTCGTAGCCCCATGTCGAGCTCCACCGACGGCCACAGTGGCTGCGCTCGCATGACACCATCGCACCCATTTCGGCACACCGGCACACCCCTAACACGTGTCGTGGTTCCATAACGAGCTCCACCTCAGGCCCCAGCGGCTGCGCTCGCATGACACCACCGCACCCAGTTGGGCACACCCGTTCACACGCTTTGTGGCCCCATGGGGAGCTCCACCGAAGGCCACAGTGGCTGCGCTCGCATGACATCACCGCGCCCATGTTGGCACTTTCCTCACCTCTCGTGCCCCATAAGGAGCTCCACCGAAGACGATACCAACAATTGCGTTACTCACAACACCAAATTGCTTGATCGTTTGCCAGGATCATTCGTTTTTCACGGATAGTTCTTTGATGAGCTAAGAGGGCTTCAAATTCGAAGCCAGCAGCAGAAGGGAGCCCGGAAGTTCTTTCCGGCGTCGCTCCAGAATCCGCGTTGCGATTTGCTTGAATTTGCACCCTGTCCAGAAAGGTTTTTTGTTCTAAGCGTTTCCCAATACGTGTGCCCAGAAGCTCTACACAAGCTTCCCCAGAAATTCCTTCACAAAGCTTCCAGATTGTCTTCGAAAGGTCTGGACGACCTTCTGGCGCTCCGCTATCGAAGTAGGGGACCCCACACGTGACCAGTTAGTGAAGTTATTACGACGGTATTTTGCTTATGCTCCATGGGTTGTATCTAACCAGTCAGCTACGACGTTGCTTTCAGCGCGTGTGGTGCATGCGGGAAGTGGCAGCATGTATTATCATTGATGGTGGAGCTGCGGCGCGTGAGTATGGGTCCCAGCGTCCTTTGTTATAGTGCTGCAGTCAGCGCGTACCAGCGAGGCGGGCAATGGCAGCACATGTTGTCGCTATTGGCAGGTATGTCGGAAGCGTCATTAGAACCGGACCTCATCACCTACAGCGCTGCAATTAGCACATGTGGACACGCTGCGAAATGGCAGGACGCATTGTCGTTATCAAACGAGTTGGGTCAAGCAACGTTGGAGCTAGATATTGCCAGCTTCACTGCTGTAGTTGGCGCATGCGAAAAAGGCCGTCAGACAGAACGCGCGGCATCTTTGAGGTGCGACATGGGGCAGTCAGGGTTGAAGTGAAGTCTGCTTAGCTACAATTCTGCAGTCAGCGCATGCGCGAGAACTGGGAACTGGCAGCGTGCACTCTTGTTGTTGGACGAGCTGTTGCGGACGCTGCTGGAGCCAGACGTCATAGTCTGCAGCACCGCAATCGGATCTTTTCCAGAGAAGTGGGCAATGGCAGAACGCAGTATCATTGTTGTGTGAGTTGCAGTTGTTGGAGCTGGTGCCAAATATACTCGCCTACAGTGCTGCAATCAGCGCTTGCAAAAAAGTGGGTTGTGGGAACACTCGCTGCACTTGTTGAGCGATTTGAGGCACACGGAGTTGGAACCCGATGTCGTTGTCTACAATGTTGCAATCAGTACGTGCCAGACAGGCGGGGAATGGCAGCCGGCATTATTCTTGTTGAGCGAGCTGAGACACGCGATGTTGGCGCCAATTACCAGCACCTACACTGCCGCAGTGCTTTCCTCCGCGACAGGCGGAGAGTGGCAGCATGCGTTGTCGTTGTTGATCGAGCTGTGGCAAGCGATGCTGGTACCAGACATCCATGTACCGTGCAGCAGCGAGCGCCTGCCGCAAAGTTGGGCAATAGCAACAGGTATTGTCGTTGTTGAGCCAGTTGTGCCTGGCGAAATTGGAGCCAGATTATACTGCATATAGAATTGCAGTCGAAGCGTGCAAGAATCGCCAGGAATGGCAGCAGGCAGCACTATTGTTGAACAAGTTGTGCCAAGTTGATTGGAAACCAACCAGCTGTCACACCCGCAGTACGAATGGCGATGGCAAGTTTCGGGTACGCAGCGCGTAACAACGCGACGACTACCAGACAACGGGAATGAGCATGCTTGTGAAAACGGGCGATGTTAGCGTAGCATTGTTTTCCCGAGCCAGTTTGTCTGTAAGGATTATGCAGTTACCTACTTGTACAGTTTAAGCGACCAGTAGGTGCGCTGCCCGATCCTGAATCGGCTGGGCAACGTTGTTTCCCAGTGTCTTCCCGTTGTTTCACATTCTCCCATTGTCTCCCGTTGTCTCCCGTTGTCTCCGGTATCTCCCATCGCCTCCCCCTATCCAAACCCTTATCTCTATCCTTATTGTCCTTATCCCAACCCCTTTTCATATTCATCCCAAGTCTTACATATATATATATATATATATATATATCCCTATCCGTCATTCTCTACCCCGATCCCCGATTCCTGGCCTCCCAGCGTGGTCCCCCATCGTGAGCCCGCAGCGTTGCTCCCATCGTAACGGTGCAAAGCTGTCTAGGGTCTTCTGTCGCAAGGTTGTCGTCATTGGGCGTTCGGATGTCCTTTCGGGCCTTCCATGGACACTCGGGAGAGGGAGGGAGGGAGGGAGAGTGAGGGGGACCTCGTCCCCTCATTCTCATCGTGCTTCCTCTCTGGAGCTTCTCTGGAGCCTCCCACAGATCTGTTCTGGGGACCTCTGGAGACCTCCGTGGGGCACTCCTCGTGGAGCTGCGAAGTCCTCTGGAGACCTCTGGCGCCTGCGCGAGTGTCTCTGACACTCGCCTGCCCTGCCGCGGCCTCTGACCACGTCCCAGGCGGATTCTGCGCCCACGACGCGGGGCCCTTCGCGCCCCGAGCTGCAACTGTGGGGGCCCAGAAGGGTCTGAACTCCGCTGTTCGCCACTTGCGATCCTGCGCGTTCGCTGCACCATGCTGCACCCCCTGCTCCGCAGGAGGCGTGCTCGCGTTCCTCGACCTGCACGCACACTCCCGCCGCCACGGCGTCTTCACGCTCAGCAACCCAGGCGGCGAGGCGCCAATCGCACCGCGCCCGCTCGCCTCGAGACACCTGGTGACGTCGTCAGTGCAGTTCGTCGGCTCTGTTTTGTTCGCCCTGGGCGTGATGAAGGATCAAGGATCTGCTGGCATTTCGATATTTTTCTGTGCCTTTGGGGGGGTCCTCGTCGTCGTTGCGGCTGAGTCCGCTTCGAAATTCTGGCCAGGACGCTTTTTCGGACAGGTCCCAAAGGGTCGATTGCGAGTCGCGAGCTGTTTCAGTCTTCTGGCCTGGGGAGGTAAACGTTCAGGGCAAACCGCGACCAAATAGTGTTGCTTCGTGCGATCCCCACCAGAACCTTCGGAGTTTGTTCCCGAAGTTGCGCGCGCCTACTGGATGCTATGTTATTCTCGTAACAGTGTTTTCACTGATATGTTCTTACTTCTGGCCTGAAGAACTGAGCCTGCGTGTCGGTTTGGCGTCTCCGTGCCAGCGATCGCCGCCGCGCCGTCGCCGCCTCGTCGCCGCCCGTCGCTTGGGTTTGTATGTCGGTCTGGCGGCCGCCCCGCCGCCGCTTCGTCGCCGCCGCGTCGAGCCTCGCATAGATTGCACCGCACAGGTTGGCATATATTCTCCTTCCCAGAAGAGTATTAGGATCCTCCCCCCGGGGTCAACTGGCCACCTTTTCATTTGTCAATTAACATATGATTCTGCCCCATCGTCCATCCTAAATATGAATTCGCACCGTCCCAGGCAGGCTGGTATCGGTCCCCCCCGTCATCCTCTGCAACAAATACTATGCGCGCGCACTCGTTTGTCAAGAATCATCAGTTCTCGAGAATCCCTTTCAAAACGTGGGACGAAGTGCGCACGCGCGCGTCGTTGCGCGCGCATGCTGGAATCTTTGAAGTGTTTGTATGTTTCGCAAGGATTTCAAACATCAGAGCCACGAAACCATACAAAACCACATGATCTCGCAACAAAGGTTTTCAGACAAAACCTGCGCCCGCGCTCCTGCGAATTCTTGAGCCAACCATCTTACAACAATTTAATCCATAAGGCCGCTCGTGCACGTCGAAATCGTTTACGCCCTTGCGCGCGTGCTGCGGCAAGACCCCCCATTGCAAAAAAAAGGTGGCGACGTGCGCACGCGCGCGTCGTTGCGCGCGCATGCCGAGACCCTTCAAGAACCTTCGGTTTCGCACGGATTTCAAACATGAGTGTCCAGATCACACATAAAATCACATGGTGTTGCAACAACATTTTCGTTTGTATATGCAATCGAGTTGCGCTCGCGGTCTTGTGGAGTCTTGGAACGCCATTGTTTCAACATGTGTGTTCATCAATGTTTGCCAAGCGGCCTTCTCGCGTTGCGTGTCGAACTCACTTGAGCGCCCTAGCGCGCGTGCTGGGGGGCTTGGGGGGGGGGGGGGGGGGGGAGGGGGGCGCGATCCGTGTCACATAAGTCCACGCAGGCCACTCGCGCGCGCAGGCCGTGCGCGCATATCGAATTCCTTCAAACACCTTCATCGCCGACGCGAGGCCATCGTCATCATTATTAGCTTGCGTGACCAACATCGGCGCCGTCATTGGCCGTGTCACCATCATCGCCACCATCGTCATCACCACCGCTGCTCGCGCTAATCGTTTCTACCGTTGTCGGCGTCGCCATGATACCGCGCCCGCCCAAGTCACCGATTCGCTGCAGTGCCTGCTGAAAAAATGCCCAGCGGTCAGTGCCACCGCGTTCGCGTCGGTCGCGCCCAACTAGCTGGCCGCTGTGCGAGCGAGCATGCGCGGGCTAGCGCGGCCGCAGAGATGCACCAGCCAACGCCAAGCAGTCATCGCAATCGCCGCCGCGCGCGCATTGCAAACCAGGTTGCGGGTGGGCGGCTCGAGCGCGAATACTGTGAGCTCGTTTGTAATAGTCACTTGCCCCAGATGTAATGCGCCACGTAGATGGCATCGCATATATGGCACCACGTGGATTGCGCCAGAATCTAAACGGCCTGTCGGCCCATGCCGCCACCGCGCCTGCTCTGCGGGCACAGAGCCCATTGTCTGTTCGCTGGGATTTCGTGGGGCGGGGGTGGGGGGGGGGGGGGCTCGCGGGAGCTTCTTAAACGTAGTGTTGGCGCCTTTGGGGGGCTGAATGGGGATCTCTTTGGGCCTCTTTGCTGCCTTTCCGTGGCCTCTCGGATCCTCTTGAGGGCTTCTTGGGAGCCGATTGGCGCCCCTTGGGCGCCTTATCGGGGCCTTCTGGGCGTTTTTGGGGGCGGAAGGCTCGGCTGTTCATCGGATGTTAGGTTTGTGCTCCTTCTCTTGTGCCCTTTTTGGGGCCGTTCCAGTGCCTTTTCGGACCGTTTTAGGGGCTTTCTGGGGTGCTCTTAGGCAGCCGAAGGGCCCTCTCGGGGGCCTGTTGGACCGTCTTGCGATGGCTGTGGCAGCCTCTTGGGCCGTTTTCGGGGGGGGGCAAAACACCGAAGAGGCGAGGCTACACACATCCCGCCAACACCTTGGGCAAATCAATGAGTTGTGCCTCTTGGGTTGCTGTTGGAGGCCTCGTGGAGGCGTTTTGTGGCGTCTTGGAGATCTCTTGGACCGTCTTGGAACGATCTTTCGGCGAAACACATCAGAACTCACGGGGGCCAGCCCGGGAAACGTCGGGAACGTTCGGAAAAGACTAGACGAGGCCCTTACACACCACAGCGCCGACCTCTCGCCTTCAGTGCTTCATGAGTCCTGGGGCACTCCAATCTGCGCGAGGGGCACGCTTGCGGATATTGCACAACATGGATTGGACCACATGCATCATTTCTTCCAGAAACCAGACTGTCGCATTGCAGTGTACACATGATTCTGCCCCATCGTTCATCCGAAATGTGAACTCGCACCATCCCAGGCAGGCTGGCATCGGTTCCCTCCCCGCCATCTTTGCAACACATGCTACGCGCGAGCATTCGTTCATCAAAATCAGTAGTTTTCAATGCTCCGTTGCAACACATACGGCGAAGTGCGCGCGCGCGTTTCTTCGCGCGTGCTTGACGCAATCATTGTTTAATATATATATATATATATATAACCTTCGGTGTCTTCAAGATGCCAAAGTCGGGTGTTCAAAAGACATGTGACATTTGTTGTTTCGCAGCACGGATTTTTAACGCAGATGCGCGCGCCCCAATTCGAAAGAAACCATTCGGTTTTCAACATATTCAGGACATGTTACCAAACTGGCTTCGCGCGCGCGCGTGTCGAAATCGTTCGGACGCCCTCGCGCGCGCGCTGTGGCAAGAAACCTTTGCGCCGAACGGGGCGCCGTGCACTTGCGCGCGCCGTCGCGCGCGCATGACGGAATCCCTCATTTTCCTACGTTTCGTAAAGGCTTCAAAACCGTAGAACAATACATGGGCTCGGAACATCAGTTTTCAAACAACGCGGCGCTCGCGTTCTTGCGAATTTTCGATATATCATTCAAATGCCTCGGCGCGCGTGCTGGGGAGGGCACGATCCGAGGCAACTAACGCCATGCGGGCCACTCTCGCGCGTCGGCCGCGCGCGCGTCGGACTCCTTCCAAACCCTTCATCGCCGACGCGAGGGCGCCATTGTCGTCGGCGTGATCAGCATCGGCGCCATCACTGGCCGTGCCGCCGTCGCCGTCATCATCGTCAGCAGCACCGCTTCTATAACCGTCGCGTCTAGTCGACGTTGCCATGGTACCGCGCCCGGCCAAACCGCCGACTCGCAGTGAAGTGCCCGCTGAGACGTGCTCACCAATCAGCGCCACCGCGGCCGCGTCGACCGCGCCAAGCTAGCTGGCCGCTGTGCGAGCGAGCGTGCGCGGGCTAGCGCGGTCGCAGAGATGCGCCATCCAACGCCAAACAATAGTCGCAATCGCTGCTGCATTGGTCTTGCAGACCAAGTTGCGGGTGGGTGGGTGGGACAATTGCGCGAGCAAAGGAGTGGTTGATTTCTTGGCGAAAATGTAGTAATTGCACTGCACATATTGCACCACATGCATTGCGCCACATGGCCTGCAGCACGTGTATCGCGCAACCTAGATTGCACCACGCATGTTGCACAGCATAGATTGCGCCACCTAGAGGGCATAGGGTGCACAGCAGATATTGCGCACAATAGGTAGGTCAACCGATGTAGCACCACGTATATTGCACCACAGACATGGCCGTACCCCGATTGCACACCACACTGGCTAACAGTGTATTTGAACTGTGTTGCGTTCTGTACCCCATGGTACGATATGACACGTGTTCGGTGGTATCATGTATTGGTGCGTTGGCATGTTGTGTCGTGTTATGCCGTGCGCGGCGGCGCGATGTTATGATATGATGTATATTGTTATGAATGATATGGTTTTCCTGGATGTCATGTGCATGTTATTTGGATTCCTGGATTCCATGGATTCCTGGATGATATGGATTTCATGGATTCCTGGTATAGATTCCATGGCATGTATTCCATGACATGATTATGCATTCCTGGTATGTATTCCACGGCATGATGTATATTGTGATGGATTCCATGGGTTCCTGGTATATGGATTCCTCTCGCTTCGCGGGGTGCACGTCCGGAGCACGTGCAGTCACGTCGTCGCGGGACTTCTTGGGAGCCTCCTGGGGGCCTCCTGGAGGCCTCTTGGGAGCTTCTTTGGGCCTCTTGGGGACTTCTTTGGGGCCTCTCCCCCCCTCCTACTCTCTCCCCATCTTCCCTTCCGGCGCCGGCTCTAATCATGGGCGCCGCCGTGACCAACTTCCACCTGGCTGGCGCTGCGCCGCAGTTCGCCCAGGGGGAGAAAAATAACATTACACTCCAGTCGTTGTGTGGCCTTGTGGGGGCTTCTTTGAAGCCTCTTGGAGGCTTCTTGGGGACTTCTTGGAGGCCTCTTGGGTTTTTTGTTGGAGCCCCTTGGGGGCCTCTTGGGGCCTCTCGTGGCCTCTTGGGGGCGTCTTGGGCCGTCTGCGGACGCTTGAGACCGTTTGGCCCCTTCGGGGGACTTTTTGGGGGCCGCTCGCGGCCGCC